CTTCCCTCATTCCTCCCCACGTTACATTTGAAGCACACTCTGCAAATGTGTGCATTTCTGTCCAAATTGCAGCAGTGTACCGAAATGCCATTTATTTACGGAAATGCTAAACCAAGCCTGTTTTTTGTTGTTGTTCTGTGTTGTTTTTAAACTTTCATTAGCTCCATTTCTGGAGCTGATCCCAGGTCTTGAGACCCCAGGCCTGAGAGGTCCCTACTGAAAGTGGGTAGCCTGGAGCCAGCCATGCCTGAAGCCTGCCCACTTATTGGGCAGCTCTGATTTTCTGCCTATGTCCCCATCAGGGATGCTGCAGATATGCAGATCTGAGTGGCCCAGTCCTGCCTGGTCATCTCTCCATCACACTTTCCCACTGTACAGCAAACTGCTGGCACACTGGAAACCATACATAGGGTGCTTCACAGTGCAGGCAGATCTGAAAGCCAAAATCCAGTCCCACTCTGAGCCCCAATTCATGTCATTCACCCAAGAAATTCACCTGTTTTCTTGCAATTCATGACACGCCTGATCCTGGAGGCAGCCTCGTGGCCTCCCCGCTCCAAGGAGTCAACACGGAGACAGCACGACCCTCTCTGAAAAGCACAGGAAGGTCTGTTCACACGGTGGCCAGACAGGTCCTGAGCTCGTGGGGACAGAGAATCAGGAGGGTGTACCTGGGCAGGAAGGGTGTTCACTGCATGGCGTGAGGTCCTACAGAGGTCTGGCGCAGGGACACGTGGAGACAGAGTGTCCCTGATGAGCTCAGAAGAGCATTTGTCCCCAAAACACAGGAGAAAGCAGCCAGGTGAATGAACGTACCCGCTAAGGATCACCCTCCGGACTCATCTCCTTAGTGCTGAAGTTTATGTTAAAAGTCAAATCTCTTTCTCTGGTTTGTCCAAGATCCCTCAGATTGTGGCTTTTTTCTCGGAGGGGAGAAACGAAGATGAAAACGTGTTTTGTTCTCTCCTAAAGCCCCACACTTTCTACTGTCCAGGAACTCCGCAGCTCATATTCTTCAAAACATCTCTAGAAAACAAATTTTGTTGTGTTGCCAGGTGATGCCATGAACTTGACAAGTGAGTAAAAGCTAGTTTAGCCCTGGGCACTCCTATTAATGTACCGGGACAGTTAAATTCTTGAAAAAGTATCCCTCCCTCTGCCTTTTGTGTTGTTGTTTTTTTGTTTTTTGTTTTTTGTTTTTTTTTTTGGTTACCACCGGAGTAGCAATATGATTCAAACTTTATTTTATTTGAAGCCACTTTGTTTACTGAAAGAAGATCTAGGTTAGAGAATTCATGGACACTTTACATAGAGAAGCGCTTGGATTTTTCATTTTTAAAGTCTTGGTTAAGATCATGAGCTTTGCACCCAGGCCAGAGGTTCTCAGTCCCAGATGCATATCAGAATCACCCAAATGGCTTTAAAAAAAAAGAAAAAGGAAGGTAGCACTACCAGACTCCTAGCCCAGGCTATTAAATTGGAATCTCTGGGTAAATTACACAGAGCAAAAAGTCAATGAAACCCCGGCTTCCCAGGGACCAGCTATCTGGTAGGAACAGGGACTTGTCCTCTCTGGGTGTCACCTTCCCCATCTATGTAATGGGAGAGACGACGTGCCACTCTCCCGGGGCTGTTGCAAAGAGTAGCTCATGTGAGATGCTTACTTAGCACGTGCACGGCCCTTCCTCAGACAGTATGGGTGGCGAGTGCGGGCATCGGACAGTTGGAACCTCCCTGACATCCTTGCACAGGTGGGAAGCTCTCTCACCACGGACAGCGGGGACCCACGCTCCCAGCTCTACTGTCCTCATCTGTTAAATGGGATAATAATAGATTCTGCCCCAGAAAGTCATTTTGAAGATTCAAATGATGCGATAAGTTATGCAAACTGAGCACAACGCATGATATATAGTGCACACACATTAGCTCTCATTATTGCAGAAAATGATGGGGAACTCACAGGCACTGTCCTGTAAAACAGGGATTGGTATGCCCGTGACAGAGGTGATACGGTAAGTGACTTGCCAAAGGTCATCAGCTGGTAGGCAGAATGCCCAAGATTCGAACCTCGGATTGTTTTTCTCCAAAACCCATATTTTTCCTTTTTGATCAGTCGCCATTATGACAATAGCGTGGTTGCTTCCTCAGCATGGGCGGAAGTTCTTAGCCTGGCGTGGGAGGTCTTCAAAGTTGAGCTCCAATCTGCTGTTTCCAACCTTGTCTCCACCTGCAGCCACTGTTCCTCGAATGTGCACTGTGCATTCTCACCTTTGGGCCTCAAGTCACTCTCCTCCTTGGGCCCAAATCTTCCCCCTCCTCCGGGACCTGGTTTGATGCCCACTCCCCACGCCGGTAACCCCTGATCCACCTGCTAGAAGCTCTTGCTTTCTGGACCACGTTGGCTCTGTAGCACTTCCGCAGTTTCCTTAGTCCGTCTGATGTGATTGCATCTTATTTACAAGGCGAATCTGTCCTGCCAGACCTCGGGCTCTCAGGACCTAGAATTTGTCCTCATCGTCTCATCCAGTGTCCTGGCCACTCTCCTTAGTAACTCAATCTAATGCCTTTCATTTTTAAATGGGGTCGGGTGAGGGAGACAGGTTTGTCATAAATCAACCCACTTGACTCATATGAGATGTCATCGAGACCCTTAACATTATTAATTGTCAACAAGAGTTGGCTGCGAAGTGTTTGGCAAACTGTTCCTGATGGGTTTTTGACAGCCAGTCGGGCGTGCAAATTCGGGGTGGCAGATGGGCGTGGTTCGCCACAGATGGCTCCAAGTGGAGCTTCAGTGTTTATATATCTTTTCAAACTACGACTTTATATTTACGCTTAAAGAAGGGAGATAATTCAAAATTAACTTGTGCTCTTCGGGGAGTCACGCTAATGTTTGTCAATGAGGAGCAAATTTAGGATTCTAGAGAGAGCCCTGGGGAGGGGAGCTGGAGGCTTAGGCATTAGTCTCACCTCTGTCACCCCCCGGGGGTGGGGGGTGACTTCCAGCAAGTGAATTCCTCTCTTGAGGGCTCAGTTTTCTCAACTGCCAAGTGAGGAAGTTGGGCTGGAAGGGATGCGGTGTCTGTTCTGAGTCCAACATTTTAGAATCATTGAATGCCAAGTCAGTGGCATTCGTAAACTCCGATATTTATCCTTCAGGACTGTGAGAGGGCTATTAAGCTTTGAGTGTTTCTGCCCCTACACTGCCCTCTGGGGTTGGCCAGAGGCCTGGACCCGAAGGACTGCATCCCTACATCGTCTGGACTCATTTGACGATGCACAGATTCTAAGCTGTCCTTGCAGTAGCAAAAACACTGCCTAGCAGGGTCTGGGTTTGGGGAAGATAGATCATATTCTATTTGCTTTGCACAAACACATTCAAGACTTAATTATCTTTTTAACCCTTGGGGTGATTCCTAAATCTTGGTTCTTGGAGATGGCTCCATCCAACCCATTTATGGATGGGAAGAGTGAGGCCCAGATGGAGGAAGTGACTTACCCAAGGCTGTAAAGAGCAATGGGGTGGAGCAGAGGCCAGAGGCCTGTCCTCCTGGTTCGGGGATCACCTTACCGCACACGCTGGGCTGTGGAATTTAGTGGAGGCAACTGAGGAAGCGTGGCTCTGTGGCTGCGGAGAGATCCTGCCCCCTCCTGCACCGTCACAAGCTCCCCATCCCTGCTAAGGTCTGCGGTCAGAGCTGGAGGGACATTGGAGAATGTCCCGTCCTGCGTTCCCCGTCCTGGGAGGAGTCCATGGTGAGCCAGGGGTTAGGAAAAGCTGCCCAGAACAAGGCACGTGTCTCTAAAGTCCAGCTGGACCCAGTGGAGATAACTCACACCCTACTTTTCTCTATCGAAACAAACCTGTACCAGGGAGAACGGTGCAGAATCTGCTCGAATGATGAATGAAGTTGTCTACTGCCTGCTTCTAGGCGTGCTCTGAGAGCACGGGGCTGCTCTCCCCTGCCCGGGGAGGACACTGATTGCTGCAGGCTGAATACTTGCTTGTCCACAAAATTCCTAAGCTGCTATCCCAACCCCCAGTGAGATGGTATTTGGAGGTGGGGCCTTTGGGAGCTGATTAAAGTTAATCGAGGTCGTGAGGGTGGGGCCCTCAAGATGGGATAGAAAAAGAGGTGGAGACAGGGGCTCAAGCTGCCTGCTCCCTGCCACGTGAGGATACAAGGAGAAGGCAGCCATGTGCAAACTAGGGAGCCAGGAAGCCGACACTCACCAGACACTAGATCTCCTGGCACCTCCATCTCAGACTTCCCAGCCTCCAGAACTGTGAAAACAACAACAACAACAACAAAAAATTGTTTATTGTGTAAGCCACCCACCCAGCTTGGAATGTTTGTCACAGCAGTCGGAGCTGACTAAGACGCTAATGTTGCCCAGCCCATTCATTTCATAAAGGAATAGACTGAAACCCAAAGAGGGCAAGTGACTTTTTCAAACCAGACAAGACCTAGAACATTCTGCTGACTCACGATCAGCGTCTTTGTTTTTCTGTCCCGCGCCTGTTCTAAAGGCCCCCGAAATTCTCCACCCCAGTGGGTGCAGCTAAAGAGGAGGCTGGAGCCACTCCACGCGTCTTCCAAGGCACTAGAATGTTCCCAGTCAGGAGAACTTGAAAGATTTCCTGTTTTTAAAAAGCCGAAATCGAAAAGTGCTGTCATTTTCTTTAAATACATTCTTTTGAATAAAACATCTATTCTTGATGCCAGCAGCAAGCTTCCAAACATGTTCGAGATGACATGATTGATAACAAGAAGGCTTTTTCAAGATGTTTCTAATTTCATCTTCCTGGTTAAAGAATGCGAACTTTCTAACATGATGTATGGCCTAATAAGAAGGTGTGCTCCAGCCGAAGTTATTTATTTATGCTTCCATTTTTGACAGATGAATATTAACTACTGAGAAAATTGCAAAGCCAATTAGTAAAAGCTGAATAATGTCCACATGAGAATGTAAGCGGTAGAAACACGACTTACTTCTGGTCCAAATGACAGAGCAGTAGAGATGTCCCACCTTCCTCTGGGAAGTCTTGGCCAGGCCAAGGGATGGTGGCTTCTCTGTCCCCTCTGGTCCCCTCTGGGTCAGCCTCGATGAAGTCTAATTCCAGAGCAGATTCTGAGATCCCCAAGGGAGAGTGGCACTTGCTGTGGAATTCCCTCCAGGGGAGACCTGCAGGAAAAATGCGTTTCTGCCAAACCTGTTGGCTTTCTCCAGCTCCCCAGCTGCTGTCCTCTAGCCCTGATGGCAGGTGACAGAGCACCAGGAGAAGCAGAGGAGCTCCAAAGACAGGCTCCGGCTGGGCACAGTGGCTCATGCCTGTAATCCCAGCACTCTGGGAGGCCGAGGCAGGAGGATCACTGGAGGTCAGGAGTTCAAGACCAGCCTGAGCAAGAGCAAGACCCCATCTCTACTAAAAATGGAAAAATTAGCCGAGTGTGGTGGCATGTACCTATAGTCCCAGCTACTCGGGAGTCTGGGGCAGGAGGATGGCTTGAGTCCAGGAGTTGAAGATTGCTGTAAGCTATGATGACACGCCATGGCACTCTAGCCCAGGCAACAGAGAAACTCTGTCTCAAAAAAAAGAAAAGAAAAAAAAGAAGGGCTCCACTCTTCCTCTGCTTCCAGGCAGGATGGCGTCTGCTGCATGGGGAAATGGAGGTGACAAACCCCCCAGCCCCTCACCCCTCATCTCCCCAGTTTTATTGTTAGTGCTGTCATTGTTCCCAGGAGCTGCGTGAAGCCACAAACAAAAGCTAATTTGGAAGCAAATCGCACATTCAAACGTATTTATATATTGAGCACCTACTACGTGCCAGGCACCAGAGATACAAAACAGACACACGCCCTGCTCTCTTGGGGCTTCAGGCCGGAGGGCAATGCCGCAGGGCACCCCTGGGGACCCCGGAGAGAGCTCATCCCTGAGATGGTGCCGGACCCCCCTCTCCAAGGAGCCAGCCTTGTCAGTAGCTGAGAAAGGGAGGTGGAGGGGCTGACGGCAGCTTCCAAAATTAACAAGAGGTTAATCTACCCAACACATGCTGCAAATGTTGTGTTATGCTTCTAGAAAGGAAGAACAAACAACCTGAGATTTCACTCGGAGGCTGCAAATTATTCTTTCCACCGGCACCCTGGGCACCAATCTGTCACCTTGCATTTTTTAGGCCATTGTTAATTTTTAATAATTTCTTGACAACTGCTTGCTTCATATTACAATAATGCTACCACTGTGCAATTCAAGAAAGCCATCAACAGCCTTTAAGGTGTAAAAGGAAGTTCTCCCAACACCCTGATCTCCACTCCAACCCTGCATATTTACCCAATAATCAGATCTGCCTAAACCCTGACCCTTAAGTTATTTTTTTTTCCATGACAAATAACTTACCTTTAAAAGAAAAGGCCCCTTTCCAACCAAAGCCACCGATTATAATTAAAAACCTCACAAGGCTCTCATTTTCTTCTGTCCCCAACACCCCTTATGTTGTCTGGGGGTTTCACTAAAATGTGTACGAATGGGTTTTTCACTAAGGCCCCCTGCTCACGTTACGAAGATTTGAAGAAGAAGCAGAGATCAGATCTAGGATTGTAGAATCCTAGCATATCTGAGCTAGGAGCGACCCTGGGGATATTCATATTCCAACTCTTCCTTTTCTCAATTTTTCCAGAGGAGGAAACTGCTTTAGTCCACCCAGGAGGAATCTCAGGCCCGGGACTGGAAGGCTGTTCTCTTGGCCACTAGATTGTTTCCAGCAAACTGCTGTCTCCCCACCTCTGAGTTAGCCCACTGCCTGGCCCCAATTATCATGATGGCATTTAATATTCTATTAATTAATAAACTCTGCAGAGTCTCCAGGAATCTAGTTGCACATGTGCAATGAGCAACCTCAGAAATCACAGTAAGAAGCCCGGGCGTGGTGGCTGATGCCTGTAATCCTAGCACTCTGGGAGGCCGAGGCGGGTGAATTGCTCGAGGTCAGGAGTTCAAAACCAGCCTGAGCAAGAGTGAGACCCCCGTCTCTACTATAAATAGAAAGAAATTAATTGGCCAACTAATATATATAGAAAAAATTAGCCGGGCATGCTGGCGCATGCCTGTAGTCCCAGCTACTCGGGAGGCTGAGGCAGAAGGATCACTTGAGCCCAGGAGTTTCAGGTTGCTGTGAGCTAGGCTGACACCACGGCACTCACTCTAGCCTGGGCAACAAAGCGAGACTCTGTCTCAAAAAAAAAAAAAAAGAAAGAAAGAAAGAAAAGAAATCATAGAGAAGACGCCCACGTGTGTGATTATCGCCACTCTCAGCCCCTCTGGACTAAAATCTCTGACATTGTTGGTAATCCGTCCTTCCAAAAGAAAGCACACGGAATTTCAATTTCTCCCACTGCACAAGTACAAAGTTTGCAAAGTTACACACTGTCTTTCATGGCCAGACTAATTCGCTGCTTCGTCCTTACCTAACAAATGCAAGGGGTCCATGCGTTCGGAGGCAGCCCAAGGAATCTGTCATTAGGTTTAATTCGAACACTGTTCTTCATTCCTCAGTTGGATCATCTGCAAGAGGGATTTCATTGTCATATGATTCAGAACGACCTGCAGAATAATATTAAAACCATAAACTATGTAGAAGCACACACGCTGGCAGGCACGAGATATAAGTTGGGCACTCCGAAAAGTTATTATCATGCCCCAAATTTAGTGTCGTGTTGTCTAACTGCAACTCATAATGTTAACGACCAGACTGTTTAGGCATCTTTATTTCTTGTCAGGAAAATAAAACAGTCTCCTGTCATGTTGGACAGTCTGAGTATACATTTTATATCAAAGACAACAAAAATATGTAATTTTATATGTTCGCGTATCCGTCATTTTAGTACAAAAGGACTTCAAACTCAAATTAATATACTTGTTCGGCACGCTGTCTTTGAAAACTATAGCATAGCAGCAGAGGAAGAACATTATGTGGTACATGCAACTTGTCTTGTCATTTTTTTTTCAGTTAAGACCGAAAGAAAAAGAGTAGATATTTACCATTATAAGTCACTGCCTAAACTCCGAAGAATTCTCCCTTTCATCATTATAATTTGGTGATCAGCCCCATAACATCTAATTATCTGCTAGTGAGAAATGAGACTTTTTTTTTTCATTTGTCCTGGAATTTGCAAGGAAATTTCCAGCCCAACCCAAGTTCTTGGCACCATCTGCAGGGTGTGACCTTTCCTGGGGCACCTAAAGAAATGGGGTGACCGATGGCAATGTCGCTCCTACCCTGTTTCTTCACTCTTTGGTCTTGACCTCGTGTTTACACCCCTTAAGGAATTTACTGGCAGTAGGTTTCACCTTCTACCTTGCCCCTTTCTCACCACTCACCAGCACTCTGGACCAAACACCCCCTTGCCTTCTGGCCTCCTCTGACTTTGACGCTTCAGGGGTGCAGCCCTCCCTCCTACAACACCTGTCACCTTGTCACTCCCTCCCCCGTGATCATGCCACCAGGACAAAAGCCCACTCCTGAGCCCCCCATCTCAAAATGAGGATGCTCTCTTTTGACGCCATGCTCCCTTCCTCTCCCCGCTCCCATCTTCCTTCTCTCCACTCAGGAGTCATCCCCACTCCGCTGCTGATCCTTCTCCTCCTGTTCATTAGCAACCCATGCCACTCCACCTCCACCAAAACCTCCCCTTCTGGAGTGACCTGGAACCTCCTCCTCTGCTCAGATTTGGACGTTGGCATGCCCGCGTCAGAGGTTTAGCCCTCAGATGCAATAAAGGTTGTCAGCACCATGCACGTGCCCATGTTCCCCTCAGCACTTCCCATACCTGGGCATGCAGACTCAACAACTCCAGCAACAAGCACCTGTGCCTCAGCTCTGGGCCTCTTCTGGTCGCTGGCGCATGCTCAGTTCCCACAGGCAGACCAGGAGTGCCGAGGAGCTAGCACCTCCCAGAAGACGCCTTTGTTGGGGATAATCTTAAGGCATGTTCTACAATGTCTATGAGAGTCCTTGGCCAGGAGTTTGACGGTTAGAAGGAACAGAAACTGATTCCAGCTGGTTCAAGAAACAAGTTCCAGGCTGAAGATATAAACCCGGGAGTTCTCAGCATACAGTCGAATCAGTGAAACAGTCAAACGTGAGCTATGCACTTCCCACCTTCCCAACCAGATGGTTCGCAAGGAGGGCTGGACTAGACCACACCCCTGCTCCGCACTGCACATAGCAAAAAGCTTGGTAGATGGGATGTTTCATGCATAAGGTCACACAAGGATGTGTTAGACTCACAGCATCATAGCTCATCCAGCTCAAATCCTTAATTTGCAGGCGGAGAAACTAAGACAGGGGGGAATCGACTCGCCTGGTGTTTTTCTCCCATTAAAGATTGTTTCCTTAAGATTTACAGACCCAGCAATAAAGGAGCAGGGTGAAGTTTAACTGTCCCCTGATATTCAATTAGACGATCAGAAGTTACCAATAAACCTTCTAAATGCCAAAGCCAATGAGCTCTCTTAGTTTTCATTTGGGGACTGCTTTCCTCATCTTTCCCCCGCCGGCCGCCTCCCCCGGTTGAAACGCTTCCGGTTTGGTTTCTATGAAAGGACACTCTACTGATTTTTCTAGCACGAAAGGAAGCAAAGAAGAAAGAAAAAAGGGCAGACGGGAAAGGGACCTGGGTGGGTTCCCTGGAGGCAGAGCCCTTGGCAAGACGGGGGATGGGGCCACTGTGGCCAGACGGGGACAGAGCTAAGCAAGGCTGGTCCCATGGGGATCTCGGGAGCAGAGGTCCCACTTGGCAGCAAGGGGACCTCCGTGTGCCCCTATCAGTTAGTCAGAGACATGGGTGGCAAGGGCTAGGGGAAGGAGGAAAATCCCCAAGGCTGCAGCAAATTCTTATAATTTTCTGTTGTCTCAGCCTCGTAAAGACAGAACTCAGACCAGTAGCAGGGTTCGGTCCCCACTGCCATGGTTTCCTGTGCTTTGCCGCCTCCCAGATCCTCAAGGTGGTGGACCCAGAAATCTGCCCTATACAACTACGCCCTGCCGACCACTTGCCTATGGGACAGCCGAATACAACCTATTTGACTCAGCCCACTGACCCCACACCCCACGGTGGTCTTAGCAGTTATGCCACAGCGGCCGTGACCTCAGGGAACTCAGGGCTGCCTGCCCTAACCATGCCAGTGAGAATTTCTTGCGGGAAACCTGCTTGGGTAACGCCATGGACCCCACAAAAGGCCTCAGCCCATAAGTCCCTCTCCTCTTTGTCTCCCTCACTCGCTCGCCACCTCCATCCTGGCCATACAGCAGGTGGGAGCAACTAGAATTAGAACCCACTGCCTTCCTTGGGGGGTGATCAGGCTGTGCACCCCCATAGCACAGCCTCCCCCCAGGCCAGGAACCAAGGCAGAAGGACTGGAGCTCAGGAAACTCCAGTCTGTTTGATCGGCTGAGTGTCAGGGGTTTGCAAACCAGGCAGCCTAGGCTAGCTTGAGAACCGGGCCGGGGATGGGCTTGTGGACGTGCAGAGAGTCCTGCAGACCTGCAGAACACGTGCATCCAGGACAGACAGATGCCTGCACAACCCCAGGGCCCCACGTGGAGCCGAGGGAAGGGAGTTGCCAACCCCTTCTGCTGCCAGCTTCCCCCGCCACCGTGGGCTCTAGGCTTCATCCCCCATCTACGACAGGAGGGGTGAGACCTGGGCAATCCCTAAGGAGCCTTCCTTATCTTGTGTTAGGTGGCCCTAGATTCCCAGGCAGGTCTGTAGCCAGCCAGGCAGACCCCAGTGGACAATCAGGGCTTGAAGGACCACAGAGTCCAAGGCTCGGGGAAAGCAAACCCCAGGACCCCCGAACGCCGGCAAGAGAGGCAAGACAGGGAACATGCTATCAAAATCAAAATATTTGAATTGTCTGAAAACAGGCCAAAGCAGCTGACAAAATACATATTTCACGTGGATCCCAAACCCACAAACGCATAGCTCAAAATCCTGAACCAACAGAAACTGAAGCAAGAGCTCAACCCTTAAACAGAAACAATCACACAAACAGGAGCAAGTCTTTTCTCCAGCGGCCTGTTTTAATCAGAAAACACATAAACAGGTTCCTGGGGGAGTACGATGATTGAAAGGGGCTCAGAGGCTCTGGAATCTTCCCAATGACAGCCCTGCCCAGGAATCTTCCAGAACTCCCTCTCAACTGCCTGGGAGGAGAGAGGCTCTTATCTGGACTGGAGTGATTTGCATGTGCTATTTGCATTTATAGTAACCCCCTTTGGCAGGCTGGGGAAACTGAACTCTGAGAAAAGAAGCCACTTGTTCAAGGTCAGAAAGCTGCCAAGTGGCTGAGATCGGATTCAAAATCAGGACTGCTGGACACCAAACCCCAACCTCGCAGCCCTTAGGTAAACTGCAGAGATGAGTTCGGGCAATATTGGTTGCAGTAGGCCAACCTGGGTTATCAATGGAAAGTTCTGGAGGTTCTGGGCACACGCCTGACCTTTGAAATGGTCACCATAAAAGAAAGTTATCATGCTGATCCAAGAAACAAATGCCTGTCACTCTATCAAGGACAAAAGCAGGGACAGAAGGACCAAGGATGGCATAGGTTTATCCTTCAGCCACCTCCTGCTCCAATGCCTGTCCACCAGCCACACCCCACGCAGGCTCGGGGACATCTCTGCTTCCTGCATCAGTGACCATTTATTTTTCTCTTTCCCCATCTTTCTTTGGTCATCATCTGCTAGCACTGACTGTGTCCCCACATGACCAAGCACCATGGGAACTCTAAGCAGGCCCCGGTTAAGTTGCGAGTAACCAGTGGTTTGCACTTTTAAGCCAAGCTCGCTGTCCTCCCATCTTCCCAGAGAGGAAAGCCACATTCAGGCACGTATGTATGCACACATGTGTGTACACGCATGCACGTGTCGCACATACATAGCCCTGCCTCAGCCACCCTGAAAGTTCCAGGCCAGGGGCAGAAGAGGGAAAGCCCCGCCCACTCTGCCAGGAAGCCTGTGATTGGCAGCTAATCGGGTCATCTTTGAAGCTAAAACCAAAACTATTTTATTAAAAAAAAAAAAGAAAGAAAGAAAGCTCAATTTAATTTCAGGAAGCTCAACAAGGCCATCTGGGCTCAGAAATTGCAAAAGTGAGTGGTATTTTTTTAAAAAGAATACTTTCCGGGTTCTCAAGGGGCGCCCCACGGCTCTCCGGCATCTAGCGGTGTGCACCCCTCCCTGGGGGACATTGCGGGACTCCCCCACCCCAGCCTCCCTCGCGATCTCAGCTGTCGCCACACTGAAGAGACGCCCCTGGCACACGGCCTCGGGGGCCAGCTGGTTAGCGTTTCTTCCAGCAGAAGACGGTCCCACTCCTTCCCGGGGAAGGGACCCTGGAGGGCCGGCCCTAGGTGACGCACCCACTCAAGGACGGAAGCGACAGCCCCCTCTCTTCCGAGGAAACGTGCAGTGGGGCTGCCCGGGCCCCCACACAAGCCACGTGCAGCCATATGTCTCTGATCAAGTCATCCCGTGGAAAACTCCAGCAAGTTCTGAGAGG